TATAGTTAGAAAAGTATTATATAATTCTCTATAAATCTGATTCTATTTCATTAATTTATTACTTCATAAATTTATATTAAATATAGATTATAAATACAATATGATTCTTATATAGAAATATTATACATAATATACATTAATATCATATCATTTATATATATATATTATAAAAAAATATTAAGACAAAGTCACATACATATAATTAAGTATAGTAAATACAAATCGTTCTATTTCTTAAATATATAAATACAAATCGTTATATTCTATTATTCTATTCATATCGTTATATTCTATTATTCTAATTGTATTATTATTAGAAATAGAAAAATAAATAATATATTATATATACTATTAGAAATTTTATACTATTATGTATGCTATTAGAAAAATAAATAAAAAAATAAAATATATTATTAAATTTCTACAAATATAATTATCAATAATTATAATTATAATTTGTCATTAATTACAATAATCAATATATCAATAATTATAATTTGTTTTAACTAAGAAATAAAAATAATAAAAAGAAATACAGAAAGGAGTGTCAGTATTCCTAATAGAAGATAATTTCAATAGTATTAAATTTCACGACCGATAATAATAAAAGCACAGGGTTCGCATTACGGAACCGCTTATCCGGACAACAGTAGTCAAATCAAACACGAAGCTATTAACTAGGTCAACATTTTGGGTTTGGAGTACTTAGTCCCAACTACTTGGTACCTTCGTGAGTGAGCTGTACATCGTGTATATGCACATATACGAAGCAAGAATTTCACGGTGAACAAGAGCAAAGCAGCCGTGTCGAACGGTCTTAAATAAATATCTAATGTAGGGGTCGCACGGGCTCTCTTTGCCCCCACCAATATTGTTTTAGGCACGGCCCTTGGCTAGCGAAGTTTTGTAATTCGAGAAACGAGCGCCACTCGTGTCTGTAACGGACAAGATACCAATAGGTGTCGGAAGATTCTCAGTCGCGTATTACTTAAGTTCTCGAGATATCCTGTCTACACTTTTGTTCTTGTATCCTGCAATGACAACATCCATCGTTCTGTGAATTGTGCAGCTGTCAATTTCTCTATTCTATTATATATCCCAATTATATTATATATCCCCATCGATGATTATAATTCTACAATATTAATATAAATATTTTTCAATTAATATTATTTTCGTTCGAAATTTTGATTGAATGAAATTTTGAAGTGATGAAAATATTTTAAGAAAGTTATTTTAGAAAATAAAGTCTATCAAAATAGAGTATTTAAAAGAATTAAAATAAGTTTAATTAAATTGCATTGTTCATATTTTCTAATATATAAATAACTTTAACATTTTTATCTTTAAAAAAATTTAGATTTACTAATTTAAAGTTATGAAGTATTAAATAATTTTATAATCTTAAATATAAGATTATAATTTAATAATGCTTTAAATATCCTTTTTATATCTTTGAATCCAAATTATTAGTTTTTTGATTTGAAAATTTAAATATTTGGATATTTTTTTCATCAGATCGAAAACTCTTATATATTTATAAATATTTTTTAAAAATTAAATTAAAAAAGTCTTATTGTGGATTTTCTTTCAGATTTTTTTCTGAAAAAACAAACTGCCTTTGAATAAATATATCTACATATATTTACCGATTGTCTTTCTTTTTTCTCGTTCCATCCGATGTAAGATTTGTTTTTACTGGTATTTGTTGCAGAAATAATTAATTAATAGCAGAAAGTTTTCCAACTTTGTCGTTCTTTCTCTCACTTTTTCTAACCGTAACCTCTTCTTTATTGTACCGACTCATAGCTGCGCTCAGTTAGCTGCTGAACCCCTTTTGCTCGTGCACCCCTTATTACCGTGTCGCAGCTTGGTTAACGCGAGCGGGTTAATGAAAAGCTCGAGCAAATATAGAATTTCTCGTAAAAACTACAAATTACTGCTGTGTCGGGTGCATAGCCGCGTGCAACGAACTTCGTCCTCCTACTCTTTTCTTTCCCTCTCTCTCTCCATCCGCTCTTCTTTTTTCCTTTTTCCGCCCATGAAAATTATACAACGGTATAATACGCGAGAATAGGAAATAATAAAATGTTTCTGGACGTACTTCGAAGATCGTGTCGGGATTTTATGACGGAGAATTCGCAGAATCGCGTGCGAGATGAAAACGTTATTCGAATATGTCCGTGTTTCACGGTTTTTTCCTGTACCGCTTAAAAGGCCGAAATGAACGTGCCCGTAAAGTTTTTAATTTCGCAAGAATCGTGCTACCTCTAGCGTAAATGTTCTGTGAAAAAAAGAAGCGTTCGTCTTGTTAAAAAAAAAAAAGAGAAAGAGAGAAAGAAAAAGACAGAAATACTCCAAATATTAAAGATGTATATTATACGCGTTATACTTTATTCTATTTTAATTAATACTATGATCTATCGTTAAATTTTGTTGATCTTCGATACTTGTGTTGAACGATTAAATTAAAGAAATAGAATTTATCATATTCTGTAAAAAAAATGAAAACTATAAACGATTTTCATTATTTAATTGCAAAATAAAATTTATTTATAAAAATTGATAATTTTACAAAAGGAAAGATTTATTTTTAATATACTTTTAGTATTCATTTCAACTGTTTTGCAAACTCATATAACAAATTCAATAATACGAAATAGTAAAGTTGCGTAATTTATTGCATTTTGTTTTATTACATTTTATATTGCATATTTTTCCATTATAATCTTTTAATATTCTCTTCAATTACTATTAAAAACTCTATATAATTGTAAATATATAATTTTTTAATAATTTTAGTTATTTTTTCATTACATATAATTACATATTATAAATTGAACGTCTTTTTTATTCAAAAAGACTAATAAAATTTGTCAAATATGATTTATATTATTATTTTTCCAACATTTTTGAAATTTTCTTTTATGATAATCAAAATAAGCTACAATTTTACGCTCTTTTCATATTATATTATATTATATGAAAATATATTTTAGATAAAATAAAGAAAAATAATAAAAAAAATATATAATATTTTATTTTTAAAGAGTACAACTTATACTTCAAATAGAGATGAGAATATTACTTAATAAATGAAATTATTAGATCTTATTAAATACTAAATATTATTATTTATTTTAATTTATAATGATAATATTTTAATAATGATTAATATTTTAATTTATTATGATAATATTATTATATTTAATATTTTATTAATGCCTATCAAAATAGCTTTTAAATCATTTATAAATCAGATTCAATATTCACTTTGTATTGCATTTTTATGTAGCTATATTGAAATAAATAAATGCTATATAATGAAAATTTTCATTATATAATAAAATTTTCTATATAAATAATTTATAAATAAATAAAAATAATTATATCAATCTTTTAAAAATCATTTTCTAATTAATTCATAGATTGAAAAAGATTATATAAGTAAGATTTACTGGATAATTTTGTGTCTATATAAATATTTATTTAAAGATTTAATCAATAATCAAACAGTTTTAATCCTCTATGGTCAAGTATATTTACATATCATACGTTTTAGGGAATGTAGATCATATTTCTTTTGTTTAAAGATTTCAAAAAATTTGAAAAAGTTTTGAAAGTACTTATTAAAGTAAATATCTATTTATTACTACTAATATATAATCATTCATCAAATGTCCAAAAGAATTATCAACATATATAATGGAATAAAAATTCCAGAAACGGATTTAGGAATAAAATTTTAATCCATAAATGCTCATAGAGGCCTAATTAATCATTTCTAAACGTATAATAATTTTATAATAATGTTCAAAACGATCCAAAAGATATTGAGATGATCCATTTCTAATGAATTACAATCGCGAAAGAAACACTTTATTTCTACGATTGCACAATCCTTCTTCGAAGCGATTTTATTTCCTTTCATCCATTCAAAGGGCGCATTGCGATTTAGAACTCAAACGTGACGAATTTACGGACGGCATACATAAGCAGTAGAAATAAAGGCAACAATACGAGCAACTATATTACTTATCTCGTATTATATTATTACATTCGTGGTCTCTGTTTGTCAGTTTAAAACCAGGAGCCATTAGCAGGTATTATTTTAGCCGTGATCCAACGTTAGCGAGAACAATGGCGTCACTACGGGTTACGTCCCACGATATTAAATGAGGCGAAGTGATACATTTCGAGGGGATAGTCGAGCAAATAGGGATGATGCGGTGATGGCACGATGGGACATAAGAAGGAGGGAGAAAGAGCGATGGATTTGATAGAAAAGGAAATGGGAATGATAGAGGGGGAGAGGATAGAGATAATGAAGAGAGATAGAGAGAGAACTTGGTCAGAAATACAAGGGTTTAGAAGAGGAAAGGGAGCCAGCACGTATTACGTTACGCCCCTGGGCTGTGTAAATACCACAGTGCTGTAATCTAGAGTTAATGGTGCTCTCATGATACGAATGTCTATTAAAGCCCTCGAAACTTATCTACAAGACCTATTGATGCTCTTTGCGAGAACGAACTCGATAATACTTATCTATGTCACAGTTTGCATTTGCTTCAGAATAAGAAAATAAATAAGAATATTTCGATCTTTCGTTCCTACGAAATATATCAACAATTAATTTTATTTGGTCTTTGTATGATCTGTGATTTTTTTACATTTAATTTTAAATTTTCTCTTAATTTAATTATAATTTTAATTTCGATTGAAATATTGCAGATTTAAATTGATAATGATAGTAATGATTTTTAATTAATATTATATTTTATTTTATTTTTGAGTCAGCCATTTTCATTACATTATCTAATAATAAAATAATGAAAAATTAAAAACATTAATCTAATCTATTTCATTTCATCGAAATGATGACGTTTCATTAAATATCAATTATTTTACAAGTGAAATTATCTAATTGTAAGTTTCGATTTTGCGTTTCTAATCGTAAAGCGCGACGCGAGCGATCAAAATTGAATGTGATTTATCGGGACGTGCGGCGTCGTATAATATATCAGTGGAGGCAACAGGCGAAAATAATAGTTTGGAGAATGTAGACGATATCAATGCGCAACCGGGTGGTAGTGTCTCTGACAGCGCAATTATCTGGCCTCGCTTGCGGTTGTACGCCAACCCCTTTTATTATCGCCATCCCCAGAATCAACGCTCCTATCATATACGTTCTACCCTAATGCTTGCGTATTGCCGAGGATTGTCAGATGATATCTATCGAGCTTTGTTGTAAGTCTCTCCTCTATATTTTTGCATATATATTAGTTTTTTTTCAATTTTTTTTTCTTTCGTATCACTACAACAAAAGATTAATCAATTATTTAGAAAACAGTTGTAGACGGAAATCAACATTTTTGAACAATTTTTTTCTACATGTATAACTATCATTCGGCTATTGTTTTTGAAACATTTGCAAAAAAAGATTGTTATTATTGAATTTCGTATATTCGTGCGTTCATTATATTGTGTACTGCTTATATATTATTTCTATAAATACATTGGCATTCAAAATATATAAGGGATAATTCAATCGATAAACTTAAACTTTTTCGTGGGTTTTCATGGGCTTAAAATATCTTAATTCCAACCCATAGCGGGTTTAGATATTTCATGGATTCTTCGGATCAGCGAAATGCAAAAATATCTAAAATAATTTTTGGATAATCGAAGTTATATTCATCATAATTACAATGATAATGATACTATATCATATTCTATTATTATAATTTCGACCATTGTAATTTCGATCGTTCAAGGATTGTTTTATATTTTATTCTTGCATCAAACTATAATATAAATACTAAGTTTAGTAATATTAATTCATCTGTTATTTTGAATGTGTAAATGGCATAATATATATATTTTTTAATAATTAATAAATGGTATTCACATGTCGATGTATCCACTATGAATGCATACGTGTAAATAAAATTAAATAATAGCAATTTTTTTTATAAATATCTTGAAAATTAATTAATTGTTAAGCGATGATTATACATATAAAAAAAGATGATTCAAAATGTTGATTTTTAACTCAACATGTTGAAAAGTTATCAAAATCATAGATAATCGTTTCGTAAATAATTATAGAAATATTTGATCGCTCAAAATGTTTATAACTTGAAAATATTGAAAATTTATTTATTCATTTTTTGAAATTTAAAATTTAAATTTGTACAAATAAAAATTTAATTTATAAATAGGTATTATTATAATATAAATAATTCGTTAATTTTGTTAACGATGAGCGTTTGTTATTAAAAAAATATCTAAGAATAGAACTTGATTTATGTCGTCATAGCGATCAAGATATGCACGCTTGTTAATAGCGATGATTTAGAGTATTCGAGTATCTAGTTTCATTGGACGCTATTGATTAAAAGACAATTTGTCCGACCGTTTATGGTTGTGTGTACGAACGTTCTGCGGTTTCGAGGTCTCTCTATTATTTCCAGTTGTGGTTACAATACCGATATTGAATAGTAATCAAAATTCGTAGTAATCAAAACTCGCGTACGCGCATTGAATGGAAATAGGCGAATGAATTAGATTACATGGAGAAGTGATTGTATTATTTATTTTTATATCATTGCGCCCGTTAATAAAATTCGAAATGCGACAAATATCGTGGCAAGATTTTAAACAAAATTGTTCAAGAAAAAACAATTTAAAAAATTTTATTAATTTAACGCTTGTATTTAATATCACAAATTTCGATATTTAGATAAGTGAAATATTTGCAACTATCTGAAAAATCACAATAGAAGGTGAATAATTATTCTATTTATGGACAATTTAATAAATCTGGTTTTCTTGCAAATAGAATGAATAACTTCTTTTTTTATATTAAAAAAAAACAAGATTCTAGAAGAGTGTATAAATACAATGAAACAAAGCACGGTAAAAAGTAAAAAAAAGAAAAGACAAAAAGTAAAGAAAAAATAGAAAAGAGATACAAAAATTACAAAAATACGTGGAAGAAATATGAAATACAAAAATAAATCAAGTTTATACAAAATTTAAAAGCTCTGTGATGTTTAATCTATAATTAAATAAAAAGAAGTAAAACGAAAAATTAAAATATCTACGCATCTCTTTATCCATTATCTGATAATCGAAACAAAAAGAAAATGAATCAATCCTATTGACGTGATACATTTCTATCTTTTTTTTAATTCAAGCGCAATACTTTCGATTCCTTTTATTTTATCGATTATCATGGTGAACAAAGTGAAAACCTCTTTTCCCGGACGAACGAATCGATACTTGGAACAGAGCCCGAAGGTGTGATTGTATAATAAAATAGAGCCAGTCGCGACAGATGAAACGTTGAAACGGTGGACAGATTCACGCGTACGTGCACACGTGTATCGACACAATATGTCTACGTTACGCGCGCACCTGTCAACTCAGAATGTAATCGCGAAAATCAAAGAGATCGTGATCAACGAGGCGGGAGATTCTACATTGATAGAGCCTCGCATTTGTCGAGGTGATAGCGAAAAGAGAAGATCCGAGGGTGTTACTAGGCAGGAAGCCATTTTGAGTTACTGACTTGATTAACAGTCGAGTAGAACAAGAGAGAGAGAGATTTTGTGTGCATTTGTTCCCATGTATGAACAGCAACATTGAGAATCCTTGTTTGAACCAGCGAATAGGAATCCTTATAAGCGTGATAATCGAATAACAGTGGTTTTCGTTGGTCGGTGTCGTCATGATTATGCGACTGATTATCCCTTATTACACGAATGCACTTGATCGTTTCATTCATTAATTATTTTCCTCTTCGCTTTTTTCATTTTTATTTATTTTTGTCTTAAAAAGTTTCAAAAAGAAAAGAGATCTTTCTTTAGTATATTCATTTTTATAATTCGAAGTATATGGATTGGATCCATGGAGAAGTTTTATCGATTTTTGACTTAGTAAGATAAATAATAACTCATACTACATTTTTTATGATAAATTCATTTTATGAAGATGAATTTTTACGTTTATGCGAATATTTTATTTTTATCTGAGTTTAATCAATGTAGATTAAATAGTTATAGGAATTAGACATTTGTTATATCTATTTGAAATAAATATTATGAGAGAACATTATGGGTCAGTAAATAATTTATTTCATCAAATTTTATGTTATAAAAAAAGATAAAATAATAAAAAAAGATTTTAAGGATAAATAATAAAATTATTGATATCTATATATAAATTTTCCATATATTTCGAAAAATATAAAAAACTCTTACTGTTAAATTATTGTTAATAAATTAAACAATAATTTTATAATATTTATATAAAATTCAAATTCGATTTAAAAACTTAGATATGTATATATAATATAGATATAGATATAGATATAGATATATAAATTCATTGTAGCAAATTAATTTATCTCTTCAATCATAAAACCAATTTATTTTTCTAGCAAATAATAGAATAGCATACTTATCTCGATATTGGAAAAGCATCGTTAAACATTTTCGAATCATACGGTACCACTTGAATAATTCACAGATCTTTTCAACGATTCAATAAAAAATTATGATTAATGCCTTGGATTTGAACGAGAGGGAAGAACAGAAGAGGACCTCCGGAAACGATTCTTTTTTTTTTCTTTTTTTTTTTTTTTTTTTTTTT